CCTATGACTCTTTCCCATCTAGCTTATCTTATACGTTCATCTTATCATTTATGTTCAAATCCCCTAGTTGGTGTACTATTTTCACTTCATCCTATAGATCAATATTATCCAGTTTATTTCACTTATCATGTAAAAATATAATTATATTTTACTATGATCACATAGTTTATATCTCATACTTTGCTTTCTCATGTTCACCTATATCATGTCATATGGCTCATATCTTTCTCATGCAGTCACATAGTTCAGTTTCACATATGTATATATATATATATATACCTTATATAGCACATACTTCTCATAACATTACATTCAAAAGCATGTCAACACATATATTCATGCATACATACAATTCATGTCATTCATATACGTATAATCATATATTCATGCATTCTAACATAGGAAATAGACTTGTCGCAAGTCTTGTTTCCATTTAGCACCATCAACTAACTAATATGCACTCACCTGGCCTCACTAGCCAATTCCAATCTCTTATCTTTCCCTTGATCGATCTTACTTCCCAAACGTTCCGGAATTTCTTTATGCGTAGAATCTACATAAATGTACATTTCGTGACAATCATTAGATACCTACACCTTCTAATTGGATACTAGCAACTTAAACGAACTTATTAAACCCATATTCCCAATTTTCCTTTAGGGGGAATCGGTTCCCCCCTATGGGGGTATCGGTTCCCCCATGACATACTGGAAATTCTTATTCGTTTGAAGGGGTATCGGTTCCCCTTGAATGGGTACCGATTCCCCTTGCCCAGAAATCATATTTTGAGCTCGAAAATCCTTCATTTTCAGCTCAACACATCATACTTCATTCCCTTTAATATTCCTAACTTTCATACACATACTTAAACTCATTTCTACTCCATAATCCCTTCTTTAAACTCAAAATTCTATCTTCCATATAAGATTCAAAAATCATACCAAATTTCCAATGTGTTCTAATTCCAATTCTAACACTTCCTACCTCTTAATTTAATCCTTGACAAGTCAAATTCAACTTCACAATCTATTAACTCCTTCCATATCAAAAATTCACTTAAAAACTCATTTTTCTTAATTTCTCATAACTTGTTAATCTTTGAGGTTTAAGCCCCCTAAAGCTTTCCTTAATCTTTCTTAATATCCCAAGAATCAAAACAAGCTTTAAAACGAAAGAATTAACCAACTAAAGACTCACTTACCTTATACCAAGCTTCACGGTGGAGAGGAGGAAGAAGAAGACTGAAGAATGCTCTGGACTCTTCTTCATACGTGCTTATTACCCTTAAAAAAAATTATAAAAATCTTTCTGGTCAAATGACCATAATACCCTTAATTTCCTTTAATAATTACCAAATAACCTTCAATATATATTCAAATAATCATTAAATTCTTTCATTCTTCTACTTTAGTCACCAAATTCTGAAACTTTACAATTTGATCACTAACCCGGTATTGCGGATGTTACAGATTGGGTCACTCCCAAAAGGGCCGACTCTTTGTTAATATCCACAGAGCCAATGCTTCGATCTTTCACCATAATAACAGGCCCATCAATAGAACATATGGGGATTTCATGTAAACCATTACCAACACCAGAAAAATTTTCCACGTTAAGGACTACTAACAGATTTCTATTTGTCAGAAAACTATTCTCACTCCTCTGGCTTATCGATTCATAAGACCTATCTACATTAATGCCTTCAACGAAAGCATCACCACCGACTAAAATGTCTTGCAACCTTGGAGCTATCTCCTCTCCTTCAATGTCTGATAGTCGCGCTCCTCCTCCGGCCAAGGAGACATTGATAAACAATCTTTGCTCTTCATGAGCCTCTGTTAGAATTTTGATAGTGTAAACCCGACCATTAATAACAATACGACATTTCTCATGAATATCCGAAACATACTGAACTTCAAGGAGGATCCTAGCTTCATCGAATCTTTCTCTCTTTCTGGTTTCTTCATGTATCAAAACTACTGAACCCCACAAGCTCCCTAAATCCTGAAAAAACTTATTACTCTATACTAGCAATGGAACATCTTTCAGAACAACCCAAGTTTTAATTTTTATTTTCTGTTCATAACCTTCTAAAAATTCCAGTTCATTAAACCATTTTCGGATCCATTCATTTCTTCTATTCCAACATGCTTGGCGCTCTGTTTCCCCCTTGAATTGTATGACCACCAGAAGCTCGTGCCATAAGCTGACCCTCACATCGAGCCCTTCTGCTAGAAAGGTTGTTTGAATAATGTCTTCGTTGTATATTCTTTTGATTTTACCAACTAAGCAGTACTCTCTCCACCGAACCTCATTTTTAGGAACATCAATGAGCGTGCTCCCTATTTGACTATTCAGAATTCGATTAGAAGAACATTTCTCCGAAACATTGACATGAACAACAACATCAGATTCCACTCTTCTATACGCCTGATTCTCTGAAACGTTTCCCTACAACAAACCATCATCTTTATTCCGAACACCCAACACGTCCTTGAAAGATCTTGTATCCCTAAATGCAGGTTTCCACATCTTTTTAACCAGTTTTCCAGACTCAGGTCTCTTGCTATTAATTTCCAATGCTCTATCATGAAAAACTCTGATCATGTAACCATCCAATAGCCTCTCATCCGCCCTCCGAACTGCTGAGATGGCTTCAATCTTTCTACTGAACTTGACAAAGGCAAAAGTATACCTAGCAAAAAGTCTCTTTCTGCTTCTGAACGTAATGAAAACATCCATAACTGTTCCATACTCCTGGAATGCTTCCCTTAACGATAGCGGATGAATCCTTTTACTCACATTATCGACAAAGACAGTGAAGAACTTGGACGACTGAACTGCTTTCACCGCTTCACCTCTCCTCCCTGCCATACTTCAAACTGCGTACAAATTCTTCCTTTTTTTAGAGAAATTAATTTCAAGACTATTGAGTCACGAACAATACAATCAAGATCTGAACCAAAGCCCACCGTTTATCATCTACCCCCGATAAAACCAGGTTGACTAAGGAAATTTCACAAACATCTTGCATGCATTAATGGATATCACATAAATTATCAATACCTAATTAAAATTTTAATCAGATTTTAAAATTACATTTAATTATATGTAAATCAATGGTCCGATCGTTTCTAAAATCTCTGGTTCCACCTTACACCATCTCAAATCTAACTGCTACTCAACGATTACCTTTAAATGACGTGTCACATCTTCCTCGACCATCTCTCATTATCAATTTAATTCATCAATTATTAAATGAATCAATTTAATCCTTTATTTAGTTTGGTTCAGATTAGCCCCCTATTAAATGATTTAGTAAAAGGAATCAAATAAGAGCATTTGTTTTTACAGATTTAACATTTATATGAAAGAGATGTTATAAACTAGGGTTCAAGTCTCATAGATCATATATCTTTAAAAAATTAGAAAGATGTTATAAACAAGCGTTCTAATTGATGTAAGATATCAAATCTTATATCTATTAGATATTTTTTTAAAATGTTTAAATGTATTCTTTAAACACATACTTGTGTTTAATTCTTATACTTTTGTTAACATATATTACGCTTTTTTTAATTTGATTTTCCAATGTTATTTAAGATAAAAACCAATGTTTTCAAAACCGGACCGGACATTGAACCGGTGAAGGTACTGGTTCACTGGTTCAACCGGATTCAACCGAGGTTGAACTAGATTTTATATAAAATAATATATTTTTTAATTTTACATAATATTCAAAGCAATATTAATATATATGTAACACTTTTTTTAAGTTTACAATATTAAAAGGTGTAAAAATATCACAAGTCATAACATGTATAAATAAAAAATCATAAAATTAAGTGAAACAAAATGATTCAAATCAACTACAACATAATATTTAAGGTAAAACATATTAAATAATAAATATAATTATATAAATATAATAAAAAAAATAAAATTGGGGTTTAAAAAAATCATAACAAATGATGTCATTTGGTTTAATTGTTTAAAAAAAACCAATCTCACATGGCTAAGAAACATAGAAGAGTATCCAAAAAGTTTAAAGAGTAAAAATATGAGAACAAAACAATCACACATGGCTAAGAAACATAGAAGAACATCCCAACTTACTTCTATAAATAATAGAGGTAATTTGACATTCAAAATCATGGAGTCTTTTGATGAGCACAAAGCGAACTATTCTTTCGCTTCAATTGAGCTCAAATTTTAGGCTTCAATCGAACTTCTAATTTTTTTTTTTGAGTTCGAGCCTTTTCGATTTTAAGCTTTAATATTATAGTTCGAGTTGATAATTTTTTAGCTCGTGAGTTTTTGAGTCGAGTTGAGCTTACTTTTAAAGTTTTCGAGTTCGAGTCGAGCTCAGCAATACTCGAATTTGACTCGGCTCGTTGAACAAACGACGTTGTTTGGTTTAATTTTTTTTAAAGAAAAAAAGTGAATCGGCGGTTCAAACCGGTTTTGCCGGTTTTCAGCCGGTTCTTCCGGTTCTGTGCTAATTCGGTTTTGGGAGTTAACTGGACCGGACAGGCCACCGGTTCACGGTTCAACCGGTCGAATCGGCCAATCCGATCCGATTTTAATAACATTGATAAAAACACAATTTACCAGACATATATATTTTTTAAAATACAATTAATATACATAAACAACGTAATATATCTTTATCTATATTGTACTAAAAATATTATTTTCATAGATAATAAAAAATTAAATATTATTTTATGAGTTAATTGCATCACATATGTCCTCAAACTAAATATTATTTTATTTAACCTCAGGAAATATATTAAGATAAATTAGCTTTAAATACACAAAGAATATTTAAAAGTCATGGTAGCTAATTATGTTTCTAACTGCATCCAATCTAATATAATCAATTAATTATAATGATTCAAAATGCCCTTAATTTTAAGCGAAATGTCATTGGGAATCAAGTGAATTTGTTATTTATTTAGTCATTTTCTTTCGTTAAAGCTTATGGTCTCTTCCTTCAATTTTTTTTAAAAAAAAATCAAGAAATTGTTCGTTATCAAGATCAGACCCAATCCTTCACTTATAGAAACCCTAGCCATCCCTCTCTCTTGCTCTCTGCAATTGCATAATCATTATCCTTTCTAAGCCTTATTTCTCTCCCTATCGAGCAATCTGATCCCTCTCTTTCTGCCTCTGCGTCGCCGTTTCTCGCAATCTTAGGCGCCGCCGTTTCGTCCGCTCCGATCTCCGCCTTTCAGATTCCATCAGCTTTTCATTTTCCCTGATGGAAGAAGGAAAATTCGATCTGCCAGATGATCTCCTATCCTCCAAAATCGACTCTGACCACTCCCCCAAAGGTATTATTACATTTCCTTTAAAAAAAAGTTGTGGTTTTCTTGTTTCTATACTCTTTGGATTTCAATCGTATTTGGTTTCCGATTTCAATTTAATATGCTGGTTTGTCTGAAGTTCTATTATATCTTGTTGTGACCAGTAGATCAACCAACTTCGGAGAGCGGCATACCTTTGTCCCCTCAATGGCTTTACACTAAAGTAACTGATCCTAAGATGTTACCTGCTGGAGTGTCTTCTGTATGTAACTTTTGTTTCTCTTTATCAAATTATTTTTAGGGCACTGATTGGAATATGACTTTTTGATTTTCTGGTTTCTGGTTTTATTTTCTATCATGTAGTGGAATTGTAATTTTCATTGTTTATTGCTGATCAGAAATATATATTGATTTGCATTTTGTGACTGTTTTTTCATCTCGATTTTGTATTGTTTTTGTGGTATAATTTGTTTACTATTAACAGGATATAAAATCACCAAATTTGTTGCCCCATGGGGCCTCTGGTGATCCCAATCTGAAAGATAGTTGGCGTCTAGATGGTTCTCAGGACAAGAAAGTATGGAGGAGGGCTGCACCTGATCTTGAAAGCAGTCGCCACTGGCTTGAAGAGGAGAGGGAAACTAGCTTACGTGGCCGAAGGGATCGCCGAAAAGAAGACTGGCGCCCTGATATTTCATCAACGATAGATGTTTCTGAAAATAGGAATGTGTCTTCTGAGCGAAGACAAGATGTTAGTAATCGTGGTTCAGGGCCTGAATCTCGAAGAGAGAATAAGTGGTATTCAAGACGGGCTCTTGAAGACAAAGAAAAGGATTCTCTAAATGAGAACAGGACAGATGCGAAGAAGGAAGATGCCCCTTCCGAGAAACAAGCTTTTGCTAGTGGGGGGCGCTTAGCTTCTGAGCGTGAGACTGATTCTCGTGAAAAATGGAGACCACGTCATCGTTTGGAAGTTCATGCAGGTGGGTCTGCTTCTTACCGCAGTGCTCCAGGATTCAGTTTGGAGAGGGGACGAGTGGAGAGATCAAATGTGGGGTTTTCTACAGTTGGACGAGGGAAGCCGCAATCTGTTTCTGTTACTGGAGCTCTTCCTGGGTATAAAAACAAGACTTCTAATGCATATTGCTACCCAAGAGGAAAACTCCTTGACATTTACCGCAAGCAAAAGACTGCTCTAAATTTTGACACCCTACCTGATGAGATGGATCATTCATCATCAATAGCACAAAATGATATTGTTGAGCCTCTGGCTTTTGTTACTCCTGTTGCAGAGGAAGAGGTATGGATCTTCTAATCTGATTTATAGAAGAAAAATCTACCCATTTTTATCCTTCTATATGGTTACCTCAAATTTTCTTGCCTGATTCTTACAGGATGCCCTTGGAGATATATGGAAAGGTAACACTACAAGCAGTGATGTGATCTGCGACTCATTTAGGGACACAAGTAGGGATCAAATGAAAGCTAATGCTGCTAGTGTTTCATTTATGTTCCAAACTTACCTAGTAAATGATTAGATACCATTGAGAAGCTAAGTTATGTTCCCATCCTAATCCAGGTCTTATTGATGTGATTTCAGGAGAAGAAAAACAATGTTTCTCAGTTAACAGGGAGGGCAGTGTTGAATCTGGTGAGAAGGCTTCCGTAAACAATAATTATCAAGGGAATCATGCCGAGACATTTTCTGTGTCAGATTCACAGATTATTATGACGAAGGGTAAGAAACTTTCAGTTTTAGTTGTTTGCAATCAGCAATCCATTAAGGATGACATTCTTGTTTTGTTTTGCTTGTCATTACAGAAATGAATAGTTCAAAAGGTGGACAAAAATATGTGACGCCGCCTGATATTGATGTAAACAATGCTTTGGGGTCAGATGAGGAGATTGATGGTTCTGCAAGATACATGGATGGATTAAAATATTTTAATAATCGACCGGTAGCTGATATGAAAATAGGAAAGGACTCATCCATGCAATTTGGAGTGGGTAGTAAGCTTCCTGAAGGCTCAAGCTCTCTATTTGGTTTTCAGTCACCACAGCCTACTCTTGGTCATGACCTGATAAATGTTGAGGGCAATAAGGAAGCACATTCACTTGAAAGTACTTCCCCACACGAGGAATTGAGTTTGTGCTATCTTGATCCTCAAGGGGTAGTTCAGGGACCATATATGGGGATCGACATAATTTCATGGTTTGAGCAAGGCTATTTTGGTACAGACTTACCTGTTCGATTGGCAAATGCTCCTGATGAATCTCCTTTCCGAGAACTTGGTGAAGTGATGCCTCACCTAAGGATGAATTCTAGTTCGGCCTACAGTGTTAGTGCTGTTACAAGAATGCAGATACCAGATCGTTTTGAAGGGAGCTTCGAAGAAACTATATCTTCTACTTGTAATCCTGCTTCTGCTCCAGAACTGAATGGATCTGCCATTGGACATAAGCAGCAGCAGTTTTTGTCTGTTTTTGAGGCTCCTGATGCTAATTTTCAGTTAAGAAGGCATTCTCAAAATTATCATTCTGAGTGCCAGTATTCTGAAGATCAAGAGCTCCATAAATTTGCTGCTGCTCATGCAGATGGTAAGTTTAACGTGTTGGATCTACTGTTGATTTTTTTAGTTATTGTGTTTGACCATGATGACTGTTTTTCTTGTGTGATGCAGAAATTATCTTTCCTGGAAGGCCTGGAAATGCTGGTGCCGAGCCTTTGAAAGTCTCTGCCGAAATTCAATATCATTTTGGCAATCCTTCAAGCCATCTGCCCATTGCAAATGAATTTTCAAAAACCGATGTACCTTCTCATCGTGGTGATGAGTTACTTCCAGATGCTTGGCCTGATGCTAATAGAAGAAATGCTGTGTTTAATCCTAACATCCGTCTAGGCAGTCCCTTATCTCACAGGGAACAAGAACACAATGGTTTGGACTTACAGCACCTAATGACTCAAAAGTTGCCCAGTGAATCACATCAAGAGGAAAATCATTTGTTTCATTCCCTTCCACATTCAACTGGATTTGGTGCTGAGCAAATTCATACTTTTGATCTAATGCAAAGCAAGAATCTCAATCAACAGCGGTCAATCCATCATTCAGCTGCACATATGGAACATCTTTTGGAACTTCAATTTGAACAGCAGCGGCAGCAGCAGCTCGAACTTCATCGGCAGCAGCAGCAGCAGCTGGAACTTCATCGGCAGCAGCAGCAGCAGCTGGAACTTCATCGGCAGCAGCAGCAGCAGCTGGAACTTCAGCGGCGGCAGCAGCAGCAGCTGGAACTTCAGCAGCGGCAGCAACAGCAGCTGGAACTTCAACGACAGCAGCAGCTTGAACTTCAGCTACGGAGGCAGCAGCAGCTTGAACTTCAGCGACGGCAGCAGCAGCAGCAGCAGCAACAGCAGCTTGAACTTCAGCGGCAGCAGCAGCTTCGTAACCATCGAATTAAGTTGTTGCACCAATTGCAACATCAACATCTACAGCAGCATCCTTCTCAAGCTCAGGAGTTGCTACTCGATCAACTGCTGCAGAATCAGCTTTCTGATCCTAGTTATGACCAGCACATATTTGATGCTGCTAGAGACAACCTGCTTGATCAGGCTCAGTTAAAAAGGAATCTTCTGAGTGAGTTGCAGCAAAACTTTCATGCTTCAAGGCAATTGGATTCATCTGTGGATCATCTTATCCAATCAAAAATTAACCAGAGTGCAGTCCAAGGGCAGCAGGCTGATATTTTGGATTTCATGTTACAAGCAAAGTATGGCAATATGCTTCCTTCAGAGCATCAGCTTCATCTTCAACGTGAGCAGTTTCAAGCAGAGTTGTTATCAAGGGCACTGAACCAACAATTAGTTATGGAGGGGGATAGACAGCATACTGGTTCTTGGTCAGTTGATGAAGTCGGTCGGTTTGTTAGAAATCCTAGCTTTCATCCCCAGGATCAACCAGTGGGATTGAATGGTTCAGATCTTCACCAGAAGAGGTTTTCATCTTTTGAAGAGCAGTTTAACAATCTTAAAAGGAGTCATGCTTTGCAGGAGAAACAGCAGCAAGGGGCCATTGACCCCAGTTCTACAGCATTTGCCTGGTCAACTCTTTCTGCACCTGGGATGGAAGTGGACGATGTAAATTGTCTAAATCTATCCGACCATCTCTATATGCACTCTAACAACCGACTGGATTCATTTTCTTCTGGTGACCATTCTCTTGGCCGACAAATTTCGGGTGATGTGTTTACTTCTCATCCAGATTTAACAGAGAGCTACCAGTCTAGGCAAAATGGGCAATTAGAAAATAGTTGGACGGAAAAACAAATGCAACAATTAAGTCTTGAAGCAGATCTGCAAAGAAGGGAGTCTGAAGTTGATTCAAGCACTTGGACATCAGCTGGAGGGATTCATGAGAACTCTAAGAAAGCTTTAATGGACCTTCTTCACCAAAAACTTGGTGTTCATTCCACACGGTCATCAGAAGTAGATTATCAATATTCTACCTCATCTTCGAATTTACCCCTCAATCATTTCACAGATCAGGAAGTTCATGTGAACAGCTCATTTTCAGAAGGCCCTCAAAATTCCGTCTCATTTGGAGAAGAACAGTCATTCATATCGGGCTCTGGAGATATGTTTCCTAGTAGTTATGAAGGTGCGAGGATGATGGAAAAATCTGCTGTGGACAAAGAATTAATAGAATTGGAGGGTAAGGAGAAGAGAAGTGGATTGAAAGGCATTATTTCTAGGAGCGGTTCTGTGTCGGGGTCAGAGGACTTCGACCAAGCAGAGACATATTTGAACTGTGGTGATCTACAAGGTAGAACCCATATCCGGCATGGTTCTTTTAGTGATAAAGCTTCTCAGGTTCCATCATCCCAGAATGTTTTTTCCGAACAAAATGCAGTGCTTATGAAGCAGAAAAGCCTTGCAACTTCTGGTACAATATCTTTTTTTTTAAAATATATTTAGAAAAGACTAACCGTAAAATAAATACATTTCCGTCCTTGTATTGATTACAAAATCATTTGTTTCATTTAATGTTGTGCAGAAGGAAGACATGAAGGCATGACAATGAATGCAGCAGCAGGTGCGAATAGGGGCACAGAAACTCAGGTATCGAGCAAGAACAATGCGGCAGGTATGAGAAGGGCCTCATCTTATAACGATGGTGCAGTGTCTGAGGCATCATCATTCATAGATATTCTTAGGAAGCCGGTTCATCTTCAAGGAACCGAGGCAGTTGCGTACGGCACTGCTTTTGAGCCATCATCTGATGCCGCTTCACAAGCTCCTCGAGCTGGCAAGAAGAAGGGAAAGAAGGGAAAACAGATTGATCCTGCCTTGCTGGGTTTCAAGGTTTCAAGCAATCGCATTTTGATGGGTGAGATCCAACGCCCTGATGATTAATTTTTCTCATCTGCGCGAACCGTATCATGTTGTACATTTCCCTGTAAATGTTTGTTATCATTTCGTTTTGCTGTCTTTAGATGATTTTCACTTGTACAGACGCATAGTTGATTGATTGATTTTCTCCCTTTAAAAATAATAAAGGAATTTGGTTTTTAAGAAAAGGAAAGGGTTAACGACACCATAATTATCCCAGGCATTGACTAAATAATTCAGCTCGTGTTATTTTAATTTCTTTCGATTCTACAACTGCTGTTTATTCAATCAACTGTACCGGGAACTGTTTCTTTCTTTATTTTAATTCCTCTGTTCATTTGAGTGAGCATGCACTCTGATCAACCAATTAACCAATCCATTACGGTCTTTAATGTTCTCTTTTTCATAGCCACTAGCATTTAATTGATTGATTTTATTCACAATATTAACATTTAGACTCTTGATCTTATGACATATTTGATCATATTAAATTGATTAATAATTTATGTTACTTTTTTGTATAAAGATAGAAAGGAGCATAAAATATATATTACCAGGAGCTTGAATTGTTTGTTATTCTTCTATTATTGTTCATGAAACTCATCATTTATCATTCAAACATCTATTTTTATCCAACTAAACGTAAGAATGATAATATGAAAATGATGATCCCATTAAATCAAAATTTCGATTTAATTTTAGAAATGTTCACTATTAAAAGCTCAGGTTGCGTAATTTTATTTTATTCATTTTATTTAAAAATTAAGCACTTTAATTAAAAGACCAACAATTTTATACATTGTTCTATTGTGAGTTCCAACTACATCAAAACTTCTTTGCATCAATATCTAAGCATAAAATATCAGCCTTCCAGGAATGACATGTATATCATGGTATTTACTCTTTAATTGACGACGTGTTATAGAGATAATTAAAAAAACATATTATAAAGGTAGATGCATAAAATATAAAAATAAAAATAAATATGAAATATGAAAAACTAAAAAAAAATAAAGAAAACTTTTATTTAATAAAAACAAAAAAATTAAGAAAACATAAAATCAGCCGATGAATGTATATTACTATTTAACGGTATGATCAAATTGATTTCACTTATTAACCGGATAATAATCCGGTTAAAAATGACTTAAAAATTACTTTTTTATAAAAGATAATTATATTTTATTTTTTATAATTCTATTTAAATTTTAATTAAATAATTAAAAATATTATCAAAATGAATACATATTTAATAAATTCTATAAATACTCTTGTATTTCACTTCTAACAATTGATTAAATAAATTTTATAATTATATTTAATTATTTTTAATATTTACCGCACCACGTGAATAATAAAATCTGATAATGTATTTAATAGTAATATAATATTTAGAAATAAATTCGAAACATAACCGAAGAAAAAAAATTGATCATCACCAATTTGAGAAAGAAAGGGAGAGGAACGCAAAGGTAAAGTCCAAAGGAGAATACGACGAAGCGATGGCAGTGAGCGCAACGGTGATCGGATCACTTCTGGGGCTTGGCACCCAAATGTACTCCAATGCTCTCCGCAAGCTCCCTTACATGCGACGTGCGGTTCATTCCCTTTTTCACCCCCCATTTCCTTATGTATTTGAACTCGTTCCTAATTTGAAACCCTAGGCTATAATTTGAACTTTAAATTGGAAACGCGAAATGCAGATCCGTGGGAGCACCTGTTGGGGATGGGTCTCGGAGCAGTGTTTGTGAACCAGCTAGTGAATTGGGACGCTCAGCTCCAAAAGGACCTTGACCAAATGCTCGAAAAAGCCAAGGCAGCCAACGAGCGCCGCTACTTTGGTCAGTGATCCTATTTCCTAAAACTAACGCTTAGATTTTATCAATTTACATGAAATCAGAACAACCATTATCATCTGCAGTCAATTTTATTTGAATCTTATTTCAGTATGATCCAGATCATGCAGCTTTGTCTTTGCTTGCTATGTTATAGTCTCGCTTTTTTTCCGGAATTCTCTCAGTGTTATATATGTATTATAAGTTCCTAAATAAAGAGGTAGTAAAAAATTGTTTCTTTATCCCACACTTTTGCAAATATCGAGTTGGAACCGGATATTTTGTTTCCATATTATATTTATGTTAGCTGATCAAGCTTAAGATTAAAGTTACATATCTTACCTGCTTGCATACCATTGTTTTGACATATAATTTCCTTCCTTTCTCTTTCAACTGCAGATGATGATGATTGATGCTTTAGCCCTATAATCATATAAGAAATTCATGCTCCGAGCAACCGTGATCATAAAACTAGTTCAGGTTATGGACGGATTATTTTGGACTGTTTTCTTGTTTTTGATCCTGTTGAACCTTTTCTTCTTTTTCTTATTTTGTTGTTGAATATAGGCTTCATTGCCTTGTGATTCTGGATGCAAAGTGCAAACTGGCTAGTGCAAGCTAATAAATGATTCAATGAAATCACCCTATTTTCAAGCTGCAGTGTTCTTAAATTTGAAACTATATCCAATTGCTGTCACTGTAGATTTCATTTTGATTTGTTAACTTATATACCAATATACCACTCCCTTTGCAATGTTTAGCATAGTAGTGCTTGATGCTTTGTTGTTTTCCTTTTTCAAAATAGTCGAGTAATCCATTAGTTGTTTGTTAAAAGCTGAAATGTGTATTTCTTTAGATAATCTGCGATTGTGGCTGTGGAGGATTGGTTTGTCATCCGCACAGCCTAATTTATTGGTGTATGATAACTACGAATCATCACATGGCAGCTTTGAAATAGTGAGTCAGTGCCTAGGGCTGCATGCATGCTTATAGATTGCAACGGGGCAGGGTGCCCCGACCCTGACCTGAAATATGGCATACTCCACCCGACCCCACCCCAGAATGTAGTGTTATTTTACCCATCCTGACCCAATTTGAGTAAATAAATTACCGAAAATCAAAACTAACCCTTTATTTGAAAATCAAAACAGAAAAAACCCTAAAAGTTCCAAATCCTAATTGAGAAAGGGGAAACCAAAAGTAACCGTTTATTTGAACTGCTTTATTGTAGGCCTTAATGCCTTGGAATCCACCCAATTTGGCACAATCTTCATTACCCAGATTTGGTTCCATGATCGTCGTCTTATGCCAAGGCTTCAACGGCAAGAAAACAGACCCAACAGAAGAAACAGCTTCCCTGTTAACTTTCAAATCGCCAAGACTCGAAAGACAAGAGCAAGTGCCACAGATTTCACAGTTGGTCCATCTAGTAGGCGAACGTGAGACAAATTTTGGGAATCAAAGACACAAAAAATGGGAAAAATTTTAGTACCTTAAATCTGACTCCATCTTACATATAACCCATATCTCTGAACCCTAAACCCTTTACAATCTACGTATGAGAATTCTCAACAAAAACTTTTCAAAACAAGCTGGATTTTCCAACCATGTAGGAGTAACTTGAACCGTTACATGATGTAAAACAAAGCTGATGTCAAATATTAAGGATACTTGTAGTCAATCAATCATTTCACTGGAGGTTGTTGAACAACAAATATACATGATGGTTTATACACCTAGTACATAATAGTATTGTTTGTTTCTATATTATTAAGTGCCAGTTACACATACAGCAATTTAGGACTTATGTTTCAAGGAACAAGTTTCCAAGCTAACTGCATAGTTTGATAGTCGATGTAAGGTTGCAATGTCCACGTCAGGGAATAGCTCTCTAGTTCTTCGGACGTTGAGTTGAGGTTTAGAGAATTAACGATCTTATCCTGCAACAGAAGGGTGATGTTTTGTCTCTGTTCTAGAGAAAACCAACGAAAGAGAAAACAGAAATTGTTCCGGGACTCCATCTTTGATGATCGATGGGCTACTTTCCGTATCAGATGCATGACAATGCACATTAAGATCAGTACCTGCATTGTACAATCCTGCTTCACCATACTATAAATGATTCCCATCAAGACGGCATAATCTGTAATTTCAGGTTCTCGAAGTCGAGATGGAGTCATTTCATCCTGGAGTGAGTGAAAAATGAATAGAGGTAAGGAAACAACAAACCACATTCTTTACAATAAACTGGAAGATGGTGTTTGTTTTTACTGTGTAAGGTCTGCAAAGCTCTTATGTCTGCGCCGCGCAGATCACGCGCAGACATTGGGCTTCGCAGACCGTTTGTTTTTTAGAAGACAGAAGCTCTTCTAACGTCTGCGCGTGGTCTGTGCGGCGCAGACGTGATCTTATGTATGCAGACGTCTTTTAACCTCTTCAAAGAGGTTTTATATTTAATTTTATATTATATTTGATTTTAATATTAATTTTTTAAATAAATAAAATATTAATTTTTTAATATTATATTATAGATATTAATTTTAATATTAATTTTTAAAATAAAATAAATATTAATTTTTTAATATTATATTATAGATATTAATTTTAATATTAATTTTTAAAATAAAAATTAATTTTTTAATATTATATTATAGATATTTAATTTTATATCATATAAATTATTTTATATATTATTAAAATTTTATATTTATTTTAATTATTTTGATTTAAGTTTAAATATAATATTTTTTTGGATTTGTTATTTTTAAATTATATTTAAACTTTTTATACAAAATGTAAGTATTTAAACCACATTGCTTAATAAAAAATGATTTCATTGTTTGATAATTAAGATTTTAAAATATAAAAAATTATAAATTATGTTTTTAAAATTTTAAATATAATCACAATTAAATAAAAATAATCAAAAAATAATTTGATAAATTAAAAAATATTTTCTAAAAATATCATATAATTATAAAAATAAATTATGAATATATATTTAAAAAAAATTAAAAGTATTACATAATTGCATATTTAAAAAATCATATAATTTAATGATCATTTATAAATTTTATTCTATAAAACTTATAAAACTAATAATACATGTGATTATGTGAGACTTATAATAGAATTAATAAGGTGGTGTTTGTTTTTCTAAAAAAATTATTATTGTAGTTGTATGAATTATTTAAATTTCAGTATTGTAAAACTAAAATTATTTAAATCTCAGTATTGTAAAACTCTTTTAAGTTTAAAAAATCAGTTTATTTATATTTCAGTTTATTTTAGCAATCTGCAGACTTTAAAAAACAAACAGTATTCTTCTTGCAGACTGCAGACTTTTGGTCCACCTCTTCTGCTGCAGATGCCTGCATATGTGGTCTGCAGACTGTAGACATTTTACTTCTGCAAAAACAAACACCTCCGAAGAGTCGAAGTGAAGCATAAAACCTACTTCACCACTACTACTTTCTCGTGGATGTAGTCCGATGCTAGATTCCATGTCCAACAGCGGAGATAAATGTTCATTTGCCATTTGCAGTGCAGCTGTGGCATCCCTCAAATGGCATTCGAGATCATTCAGTAAGCTTTTGACTGCACGCCATAAGTTGTCTATCCTTGAACAACATATTTACCGGATAAAAGTACAGGTGAAGATAATAAGACTGCAAATAGAGCGTTAACTTTAATCAAATGATCATACAGTCCATGTAGGCATGTGCATACTTCTGATATGAAAGATCACCACGTAAGTACAGAACTTATATGAAATGAGATGAATAAGGACCGTCCCTATAAGATAAATTACTACATAATCAAGAGTTTATCCGATAGGCGAAACTTTTAAGTAGCTTAGCTTACAATCATATACATAACGAATTATAGCTTACTACATAAATGCTTCTATGAAGGATGGAAGTACTTACATTTGCTTGTATTATGTACGCAGTCACGACTGTTAATACAATCGGGCTTCAAGGTACGAATTTAATCTCTCTGTTTCATTGGTTTTAAGGACGTTATCGATGGAGTTGGACCTGTCGTTAATTGGAGGGTGCCGAAGAAACTCTGAAAGAGGATTGGGAAAGAAACTATCACAAAGGAAAACTAACAAAGGAAAACTAGCAAGGGCACCATCCTATCAATTGCAACGGATGTAGAAAATATAATGCGGGATACAAAAAGCACCAACCTAGTCCTTGCTGAAAGCCAGTGAGTAGTCTGCCTCCAACAGCCACCAATTCATCAAGCTTTGCCACCCTGCAATGTCCGGAAACACCATTTCAGAATTCTGTAAAAACCCAGCACTTCATCACTTATATGTCAATTAAAAATGAAGATGCATCTAGAATATATGAATCCAACTCCATGCGAAGGTGCCGATATACGATATTCCAAAGCAATTAACACTTCTAAATCCGATGTATAGAAGCATTGGAATAAGTTCAACACTGTGAAAAATAAAATTCATGCCTTGATTACCTTGTTAAAAAATCTATATAAATTTGGAAAATCTTCCTCCTTTGTTTCTCCTTTTAATTTCTTCTCTTCTTCACGATCCATTCCTTAAAAAAAAAGTCTGCAGCCCAAAAACAGGTACAAACCATCATTTTTGGCAGAGAAAACAATCAAAAGATTAACGTAATTGTCGTAAAGGAAATTCCAACTTTCAGAAAAAGAAGAAAAAATTATTTCTAAGAATGCATATCATCGAATACACTCTTTGAAGCATATCACCGAACATCTTGCTTGTGTTGCATACTTACCCTTCTGTAAAATAGTGAGCCCTCGAAAATAAAATTGGTTTTCAGGAACGTAAGATATTGTTGCAATACTTCATATAGTTTTTTTGGGTTTAAATTATGATGAATTTTTTTTCCTTGAAAGAAAGTAAGAAGCCTAGCCCGTTAAAAGTACTACTTTAATCACTCAGCTTTCAACTTTAAAACATGCGTCTACTTTAATAAAACGATAATATATAGGGATGTACATGGGTCGGGTCGGGTTTTCAGTTAACCTGACTTGATCTGAAAGTTATATATCCTCTACTCGAATTTAACCTGACACGAAAAATATATACCCTCCACACAACTCAAACCGATCCTACTTTTTGAGATAAAACCCAAATCTGATCTGACCCGAAATAATATATATATATTAAAAAATATTATTTATATTCAATAAAATAGAGATTTAATTGAAAAAATATATATATATAGAGGGGCATTATTGAAATTATCCCTAAATATAAATGTAAAATTACATATTTTTCTCGGGCCGGGTCGGGTATACAACAACAAAACCCTATTCTCATATGCAATGGGATAAGGGGGAGGTAGGGTAGTAGGCTGCCCCTAACGTCAGGTTGAGAGTAACTTCCGTGGAAGACCTCCGGCAGTAAGAAAATTAAAAATAAAGATAAAATACAATTCATATTGTTGAAACATTTTGATATTTCGATATAACAAATTAAGTTAAATGGATTTTAAGATTTTCCAAATGATTTTCTAAGTATATTCGATATAACTATTCGAATATCAAAACATTACTCCAAATATTTCAAAAATCATTTTTAATCCTTACTTAAGTGTAAAATTAAGTTTTAATCATAAAACAATTTCAAAATAATCTTACAAAGTATTTCGAACCAATTCAAAGCCAAAAATTACAGATTGCTCAGAGGGAACCGATTCCCCCCCATAGGAGGAACCGATTCCCCCTAAATGGTTTTGGCCCCGAGATTTCCAGAATGCTCGGAGGGAACCGATTCCCCCATAGGAGGAACCGATTCCCCCCTAAACAGTTTTGCTCCGAGAATTCCAGTATGCTCGGAGGGAACCGATCCCCCCCAAGGGGGTACCGATTCCCCCCTTGTACAACGGTCGAAATATTTGAATTTTACACTTAGGAACCGATTCCCTTCAAGGGGGAACCGATTCCCCCCACGCTCCAAGCTGTTTTATTAAATGTTTTCACACTAAAACGGCTATAATATCTTCTCTAATCATCCCCAACGTTCAGAAGTGATCCAAGGTGTATTTAAGCAAGCTTAGAAGCCATTGATCAATAACAAGAAACATCAAGCAACTAGAATCAAGAGAGAATCAAAGAGAAAGCATCAAACCTCAAGTTTGAGCATTTCAAGCCTATTTTCATTCAATATTCATTTTGCTTTCAAGAACACTTTTTGTGCTCAATTGTATTCATCTTTGAGTGTTCTTTTCTTTGTTCTAGAATTGTGCAAACATCTTACCTTGTGAGGTTTTCTTGTAAGTTTGCAAATTTGTAATCTTCTTTTTGGGAAAAAGAGTGTTCTCAAGAGTTGGGGTATACTCTTGAGGGAATTGTAAGGTTATCTCTTTGGCCTCAAAAGAAAGAACAAATTAGTGAATTTGTTGGAAAATCCTTAGTGTGGATAGCTAAGGTAGTGGACGTAGACTTTATTTGAGAAAGTCAAACCACTGTAAATCGCTGTGCAATTACTTTCAATTTTCTGCAAAAGCTTCCACAAAAATTTTAATTGCCAATTCACCCCCCTCTTGGCCGATTCCGTCAATCGATTAACTCAACAATTGGTATCAGAGCCTAACTCATTTGAAGGTTTTATCGCCTCTTGAGTCGATTCGGGAAGAGTTATATCGATTATTAAAGTCATCAATGGCCTCCGCTTCAAACTTCGACTCCGGTCTTGATTCGATGCCCGTCAACAAGCCTCCTTTCTTCAATGGAGCTAATTACGCCTATTGGAAGAATAGAATGATGTACTTCATTCAAGCAAGTGACATGGGAGCATGGAATGCCGTAGAAGAAGGATACATCAAGCCTATCACTCATCCAAGGTTGTGGAGTGAAGGAGAGACAAGAATGTTCCAGCTCAACTCCAAAGCCATCCATATTATTTTTTGTGCTCTTGGACCAGATGAATACGGAAGAGTTTCATCGTGTACAACCGCCAAAGAAATATGGGACAAGCTTCAAGTCACACATGAAGGTACATACGAGGTAAAGAAATCAAAAATTAGTATTCTAACGCATAGCTATGAAAATTTCAGGATGAAACCAAATGAAGACATCAAAGCTATGACGGATAGATTTTCAACGATTGTCAATGGTCTCAAATCATATGGAGAGATCATCTCAAATGAAAAGCTTGTGAGGAAGTTAGTCTACTCCCTCCCAAAATCATGGCAATCAAAGAAGACGGCAATCATCGAGTCTAAGGACCTATCGTCCTTAACTCTTGAAGAACTTATCGGTTCACTCCTCACTCATGAGATGATGCTCGAAGATGAGGTGGACCTTGATAAAGTTGAAGAGACACCAAAGGAAAAGGAGAAGAAGAAAAATATTGGAGTTGCTCTCAAATCCACAAAAGATGAGAGTGATTCTAATAATGATGATGATGACGAGGAAATGGCATTGTTTGCCAAACGGTTCAGAAAAATGATGAGACCTTACCAAGGAAGAAAATTCAAACGAAACGAAGGCCTCAAAAATGAACCAAAAGAGAAGGACCCAATCATTTGCTATGAATGCAAAAAGCCGGGGCATGTCAAATATGATTGCCCACAATTGAAGAAAAATGGTCAATCAAAGAATAAGCACAAGGCTCATGTGGCTACATGGAGCGATGAAGAAGGTTCCGATGAAGAGGAACAAGAAGTAGCAAACTTGTGCTTGATGGCATTCGGGGAAGATTCTAAGGTAACCTCTAACTCATCCGATTTTGATGATTTATCTTATGATGAGTTATTTGAGGAATACAATGGGTTGGCTTCGGATTATGAGAACTTGTTTTTAAAATATAAAAATGATGTTTCAAAATTGAAAAATGAAAACAAACTCATATCCAAAACCAACAACGATCTTGAAAGTAAAATCAAAGATTTGCAAATCAAACTAGAAGAGTTTGAAAAGAAAAATTTAGATTTGCAAAAGTTACTTTCAAATATCAATGATGATCATCAAAAGAAAATTGATGATCTTAAAACTTCTTTTGATAAAGTTGGAACAAAACATTTTGAAAAAGGTGGAAATTCAAAATCCAACTTTGTTAGAAAAAGTTTTAGAAACTACAATCATAGAGGTCCCCAAAGAACCTCTAATGGAAAAATCATTAGAAGTATGTGGGTTCCTAAAGAACTCATTACTACTGAAGATAAAAATATCCTACACAAATGGATACCTAAGGGGACTAGGATTTTGGAAACTAATGAATATGGACCCAAAAGAATTTGGGTACCCAAAATCAAAAATTAATCTATGTTTGTAGGGAAAGGAGCATTGCTACAAGGCACGGGAAACAAATTCAAATTCATGGTACCTTGATAGTGGATGCTCAAGACATATGACTGGAGACAAAAGCCGGTTCATTGAGCTTAACGCCAAAAATGGAGGAGAAGTGACTTTTGGAGACAATTCAAAAGGTCACATTGAAGGTATTGGTACAATAGGTAATACCTCTTCCATACAAATTAAGAATGTTTTATATGTGAATGGATTAAAGCATAATCTATTGAGTATTAGTCAATTATGCGATAAAGGATTCAATGTCTTATTTGAAATTAATGGTTGTAAAGTCATTGACATTGCATCTAATCAGATTATGCTTGTTGGTCATAGAATAGGAAACATTTACATGGTGCATTTAGATTCTATTGATATGACTAATTTATGCCTAGTTGCTAAGGATGAGCATGATAGTTGGTTATGGCATAGGAGACTAGGTCATGCTAGTATGAGTGTTTTGCAACGGTTAATTCAAGGAGACTTAGTAAGAGGGTTGCCTAAGCTTAAATTTGATAATGATAAAATCTGTGATGCTTGTGCTAAAGGAAAACAAAAACGAGTTTCTTTTAAATCTATTAATGATGTATCAACTAGTAGAGTATTACAATTGATCCATTTAGATCTTTTTGGGCCAACTAGAACTACTAGCTTGGGAGGAAAACAATATGCATTTGTCTTGGTAGATGACTATTCTAGATACACTTGGGTTCTATTCTTAAGTACTAAAGATGAAGCATTAGAAAATTTCATCACATTTTCAAAAATAATCCAAAATGAAAAAGGTTACTCTATCACTAGTGTTAGAAGTGATCATGGAACTGAATTTGAAAATCTTGGATTTATTGAGTTTTGTAATTCTAATGGTATTAGCCATAATTTTTCAGCACCTAGAACCCCTCAACAAAATGGAGTTGTTGAGAGGAAAAATCGAACTTTAGAAGAAATGGCTAGAACCATGCTTTGTGAAAATAATTTGCCAAAATATTTTTGGGCGGAAGCCACAAATACCGCTTGTTATGTTGTAAATTGAGTAATGATTAGGCCAATTTTAAAGAAAACTCCATATGAAATTCTCAAAAATAAAAAGCCTAACATTAGTTATTTTCATCCTTTTGGATGTAAATGTTTTGTTTTAAACAACGGTAAAGAGAATCTTGGCAAATTTGATGCTAAAAGTGATGAAGGAATTTTTCTGGGTTATTCCTTAAATTCTAAAGCTTATCGTGTATTTAATAAAAGA